CTTCTTTTATTCTGAATTTTATGCCTACAGTCGAGACATATCTCTGTGTCAACAGTTTATTCTATATACTTCTTGGACTTCTAATTAGTGCATTTCTTTTGTCTTGGCGCATAGATTTTTAACATAAGAAATATTTTTGCTATTAAGTATTTACTGTTTGTGTGTATGTGATTTTTTTAGAGCCTGCAACATTTATGTCACTGAAAGGAGACATAGCTATCCTAACTACATTCTGTTGTTGTCAGTGTCAACATTCAGGTTCAGTGTGTGGTTAGAGAGTTTTTTTTTAGACATCCATAGCTTCTTTAAGTAGTTATTGCCCATGAATAAGCAAATTTTAATAATTAAGTATTACCGTTGTCCGTCTGTACATCCGTCCTTACGTCCCAAAATTGGTTTTCCATTCTCTAACTTTAGTTTGCCTCAACCAAATGTTATGAAACTTATGCACAATGCTTATTACCAATTAACACAGATCAAGAATGAATTTAGGTGGTGTCAATTTTACCTTTCTAGAGTTATGCCCCCTTACAAATGGAAAAATTGCTGAATTTTTTGTTTCCGTTCTCTAACTTAAGTTTTCCTCAACCAAATGTTATGAAACTTATACACAATGCTTATTACCACAAAACTCAGATCAAGTACGAATTTGGGTAGCGTCACTTTTACCATTCATGAGTTATGTCCCTTTATAACGTTATACGCAAGGAGGGGCATCATCTGTGTCCCATGGACACATTCCCTATTTATTTTTTTCATTTTTGCCTATCATCTTAAAAACTATAATAGAAAGAGAGAAACTTTAAATTGCAAAAATGATCAACATGGCAATGATCTACAAATAAGTCAGCATAGCTAAATTCCACAAAACAAGACCTTATTGGAGTTATTTCCCTTTAATGATGATTTTTACAATTTTATTGCATTTTTGCCTATTATCTTGAAAACTATAATAGATAGAAACTTTAGGTATCAAAAATGATCCGCAAGACAAGATCTTCAAATAAGTCCACCTGTTTGAAATGGTCAGTTGACTCCTTATAGGAGGTATTGCACTTAAATATATATGTCCCAAATTTAGAAAAGTTATGAACAAATTCAATAGAAAATATCAGTGATCTGCCACCAACAATGAATTCCCTAAAGAACACAAAACATTTAATAATTAAAGAACTTTTGTACCGACAGACTTGTTTTATACACCATTATAATGATCATATGTTCTGCTTTGTTTTCAAGTTTTACGATCCAAAGTCATGAGCATTTGAAAGAAAATGTTCATAAAAATGGATAAAACAGATACAAGTCACAATTATGTAAATTACAGATGTTGCAACACTATTTTTAAAGATTTAACACAAAGTCTTTCTTTTAAGGCATTAATATTTATTTGTAATCAATGACTGATTTACTGTACCAAACTAACATGTTTCATGTAAAACTACAATTAAATGCTAGGTTTGTTTGTTGAAATTGACAAGAAAATGTTACATTGTGGTTGATATATAAATGGTCAATACAATAAAATTAGTAAATGGAATGTTTCATTTGATCAATAGACTGTTTCCATCAGTATTTACCAATCTACAGTTATGGATTCAGTTTCTGTTATTTTGTCAGTTCCTGGTTATTGATATTTCAGCAAAATTATCAATGTAAATTGCTTCTGTTTTATGATGTTCTAAAGTTCTAACTCCATCTATGTTGGAAAATAGATAGGAAAAGGAGATTCAAAGACATCAAATAGGATTAGTTTGGTTATATAATTCAAAGTTATGTTTCTCAAAATCTGATGGAAATTGGAATTGGATATTTTAAAAAAAATCAAAATCTTTGAGATTTCTCACTTGGACCAAAGGGCATCCGCTGTCTATTCGTTACCAAAAATCTCCCCTTAAAACTCCTTGGCTAATCGTAACAAAACTAAGCCACAATCATCCTTAGAGTATATCATGTTTAAAGTATTGGACCAATGAACTGCCTCCCAGCCAACATGGTACAAATATTACTATTAACATTTAATATTCAAGTTTTCATTTTTGAAAAACCGATACGTTGCAATTTTTGTAATAATTAAAACATCTCAAAGTATCTGAATTTACAGTCATTTTCTTTACATAAGCAAGAAGAGTTTAATTTGTGATTTCAGAAAAATTTAATGAAATTTTTTAGAATTATTACACAAAGCTGTAATAATTATGCATGTAATGTTGAATATAAGTATCGCATAAGATATGGACACTTACATAGAATTAATGCCACACCAATTTGATTTTACTTTCATGGATTTTAAGGAAACAAAAAATCTTCCAAAAAACCAAAATCAGACATGAGCAAGCATAATTTTAATAACACTTTCATATAACCGTTTACAGAAGAGTGAATGGCTGGAGACATTTTCAAGGAATGTTATATTAGGTGTCATATAAAAGTGCAATCATAGCTCATTATTGGAGTAAGCAGTAACTTTGACTTTTTTCTTTTTAAATGTCAAAATGTGTTCAGATTTAAGTGTTTATGTCTGTAAAATTTATTTGCATTAAAGAGGAGCAAGCAATTGTAAAGAACAGAAAATCAAGTTTGTGAGGATTATTCGCAGACACACAAAAAGTAATTTGTTTTGCTTCCTGAAAGTCTTTGCTGCCACGTGCTTAGTGGAGAAGCAGCAAATACCAATTTTAAAGTTATTGGTTTGACCCATCTGGGATTCGAACCCACGACCTCCCGCACTCAAGGCAAACACACTAACACGAGAATACCGAGGTGGTCCGCAACTAATAAAAGAAAAATTGAATATATATGAACATTGAATTACAAATGTTTTTAACTTCAATTTATTTACAAAATCTATATTAAGGGGAAATCCTTTAACTACTGGTATATTTATTGGAACAATAAGTTATTTACTGAAGTTTTCTTGACTTGACAATTTAAAACTGACATACTGTATAGATAGGTATTTTTGGTTTGTTGAAGACTTTATGTTGAACTTAAGAAGTCTGTTCAGGTTAATTATGTTTTTTAATGGCATATGAATATACTGTAGAAGTTAATGTTAAAATTCCATGGGCATGGTTTTTAAATCCCAAATTTTTATTCGTGAGGATAAATTTTTTTTGGAGGTTTTCAAGTTGAGAAAACATTATTTGAATGATATTTTACAATTGAAATTATCTAATGAAAAGTTAAATTAGATTAAAAGATTTAACAAATGTAAATCATCTTCCCCATGATTGCTTTCACATTAAGGGCATACAGCATCAGTGGGTGGTGCACTTGCAATTACTGCTGCCAATGAAGCAATGGAAACATAAGAAAGCTAGTGATTAGCCAAAATATCACCTTCTAGGTCCTATTGGATGAATAAGAGGAAATAAAACATCAATTAGACAGCAACTCAACAACACAAAAAACAGCAATCACATCTAGACCTCATCCTTCACCTATACACATTTGTCTAGAATAGTTGTGAATGAATTTAACTGAGACTATCAAAATTTAGATAAAAGTATTCAGCATTTTTATTGTATAAGCAAGAAAATTATTGAAACATTTTATTACACAAAATGTATATTACTTGTGTAGATTTGTACAATGTGTATTATTTATTGTTTGAGGGCCTCAGGGAAGATTAGTTGTTGCTAACTGTGCTACCCTCTTAAAATAAATTATTCACTCACTTACTATCAAAGATCTGTCATCAACATCACATTCCTTAAATAACAAAATACACTAATTATTGTGTGTGGCACTCATTCTGAAGTATAACATGACTAAATGATAGTAAATATAGTTGATAAGCATATGAAGAATTTCTTAAAGCTTTTGAACCTCTAATGGTTTTGACTGAAAGATAAACATATTTGAGACAGTTTTTGTCTTGCCTGTGACGAAATTCGCGGAAAGCAAGACATAGGGATTGGTTTGACGGCGTCAACAATTGTTAAGTTTTCTGCTTAAGTTAGTTTGATAGGATCTACTGGTGGTAGATCAATGATATTGTATATGAAGTCGCATTACTATCAGTGCATATCAGTTTGACGACTATTTTGAGGCCCTGCCCCTAAGACATGGTCCAGTGACTTTGAATTAATTAACAATTTTCAATGTTAAGTTTTCTGCTTAAGTTAGGCGATTGGATCTACTGGTGATAGATCAATGTTATTTTGTATGAAGTTGCATTACTATCAGTTCATATCAGTTTGATAACTATTTCGAGGCTCTACCCCCTTTGTCACGGTTCAGTGACTTTGAATCAATTAACAATTTTCAATGTTAAGTTTTTCTGCTTAAGTTCTATTGATAGGAGCTATTTACAATAAACAACAATATTTTCTATAAAGTTACATTACTGTCTGTACATCTCAGTTTGTCGACCCACTAGATCATTGACCAGTGACTGAATTTATAAGCAATGTTGCTGTCCATCAGATTGTCTTTTACTGACTTTTATGCCGATAGGCGAGACATATCTCTGTGTCAACATTTTATCATTTGTAAGAGACGCATTGTAGCTTATTTTGCATCTGATCTTTAACCAGTGTTACTGAGTTTGTAAGAAACAAATTGTAGCTTATTTTCCATCTGATCTTTAATCAGTTTTACTTTGGATGTACGAGACACATCGTAGCTTATTTTCCATCTGATCTTTAACCAGTTTTACCTCGGTTGTAAGAGACACAATGTAGCTTATTTTCCATCTGATCTTTAACTTAGTCTAAGCAATGTATCATGACAAGTAAATTGAATTAGAACTGTCATCCGTACCATATGGAATCCCTTTAACTCGGACACAACTTTCTAATTTGGCAAAACGAATCATTGATTTTTGGTCATTAACGAAGGCATCTATTGGTCTTCCATGGTATATGTATTGATAGTGAATATACCATCATATACAAAATGCAAATCACGTTGTTAACTGTTGTATTTACCAAGAAGAATTGATTAGTGACTGGATTCAAGGGTTTCCTCACTCTTGTCATTCTTTGTCTTTTCAGTGTTTTGATAAGCACAGCAGAGAATAAAAGGTGTAAGAAAGTGCAATATTTGGATCTTACAGAAGACAGTTTCCTTTGGGAAGAGAGGTATGAAGAGTTTAACTTATTTTGCACTATGTCTGAAAACTTTGCAAAAAGTTTTTTCAAATTGTTATAATGATTTTTTTTCAATATTTAAAGGCATTAAATGTTAATAGACATAAATGAAATTTTATTGGTTGAAACCACTTATGAAAATGAAAACAGACAACTTTGAGACATTTGGGTAAAATTCTTTAAAATGCTTAATAATGTTGAAGGCATTGAAGCGTGTCTTAGAATAGAGATACACCTATTATATTTGGTATTACATAATTTGAGGTTGTTAAAATTATGAAGATATAGTTATACTTCTTTATAATTTTGATACATGTAACAATATTTTGTAGGATTAAAATGTTACGAGTACATGTATATACAGTCAGTGGTATTTTTGTTCTTTAAATCATTTGATTTGGAAATGATCAATTTAAGTGTTTGGATGGCTTAAAAAAAGTCATCTGATTGTCTATTTAGAGAATTTATTGCATAGTAAAGATTAGACATTATATAGAAATAAGAAGATACGGTTTAATTGCCAACGCGACAACTCTCCACAAGAGGCAAAATGACACAGAAATTAACAACTATTGGTCACCGTACGGCCTTCAACAATGAGCAAAACCCATACTGCATAGTCAGCTATAAAGGGCCCCTGAAATGACAAATGTAAAACAATTCAAACGAGAAAACTAACAGCCTCAAATATGTACAAAATAATGAACAAAAACAAATATGATACACAGAAACAAACGACAACCACTGAATTACAGGCTCCTGACTTGAGACAGGCACATACAGAATGTCGTGTAGAATTATACCCTTATTCTTGGAGTGGGGCTATATTGCATTCCCTTTGCCTGTCCTTCCCTCAATTCATTTGTCCTGCTGTTTGTATTTCATCCAAGACATATTTCTGTTACAATTTTGTCAGGTGCTAATGAACAGAATAATCTTTTATTTAGTCAGGAGCTTGGTAGCAAGGAATTGTGTAATGTGAGCACTTTTCTGATCTGTCAGACACCTACCTCTTGTTTGCCAATACTTTTCTTTGATATAGTGAATGAAATTTTTTTGGTACTCATTTCTCCAGGACTACTGTACATTATGAGATCATATTTGGTCAGGGGCTTGACAGTGATGAGTTGTAATGTATGTGTAGTTTTCAGATATGTCAGACACCCATTTTGTGTTTTCTGCTACTTTGAATATTGAGAGGGGGTAAGCTTAGCATGACAACTTTTGCATTCTTGTTAAAGAGATATCTACATGTATACAGATTTAAATTGTGTTACAAAACTTTTCAAAAAACATCTTTTTTTATTTAAAATTGAAGTTTAAACAGCCACAGATAGCTAGAAACTTTTTACAATATGCTTAAGGTATATATGCTAAAAATACCTTCAATGCGATATGTAAAACATGTTCATATATATTTGCAAGATTTTCATTTTCCTGATATGGCTCCTTTTTTATACAGGAAAACCTGACATTGAGGTACTTGTTCAGTAGCATTAAAATTTACATAAACCATTTGTTAGTTGCTGAACAGTTTATGAACCATTAAACACTTGATGAATTTAATTTTGATAGTTTTGACATTATAGTTATTAATTTGATTGATCTTTGGTTATTTATTATTCACCAATTTCAGCAATACACAGCTACTAATTTAACTGAAACAAATTATGTTATAATTTTTACAGTTATAGAATTATAGATTATCAATGGTTTTTCAAATGAGAGGGTGTTTCACAGCTACAATCTCATCGTAGGATCAACAGCACTGAGATGAGATGTGGCAGAGATATATCCTCAAGTTTGAAAGAGCATTGATAATCTGTTTATCGCTATTTTGTCTATGACGTGGTTGATGTTTACATAGTGGTCTTGTTTAAATGTTAGATTTTAGCCTGAACTTGTAATTGGATGACACTCTTACAACATCTTCTGAAACTAGCAAAATTCAACTTTGGTGGAATGGTTCTTGAGTTGACCCATTTTAAAATACTAAATAGCTGCCCCATCTGTCTTCCAAAAACTCTGTCTTAAAAATATAGAAATCCAATCAACATTGTACATATAATAGGTTACTGTTGTTCTAGTATGAGATTGTTCTGACGTCTGACAGTCTTTCTTAGGACTGTTGGCCCCTAGCAAGTCCTAAAAAAAGACTGTCAGATGTCAGAGTAATCTCGAACTACTGTTCTTAGCGATTTGGGCATAAATAATACAGTAATTTTACGCCACGACTTAATTTGTAATGCAGTTTTGCACTAAACCAAGGAATAAACTGTAAACATACCAATTTTTGTGATTGGAAAATAAATAAAAATTTGAATATAAATCATTGCATATATGTAAAATACTCATTTGTATAAAATAAAATGGAAGATCACCTAAATAAATTGCTGTGAAGTGGGCCAGAAAGGGCTGAAGGCAAAAGTATCCCCAAAAATAAGTTGGTTTACAGTAGTTGGTATGAATCAGTTATTAGGCATGGGATATTATTTATATCGCAGTTTAACATTACAATTAGGGGAAATTTTAAGTAGCTCTTCAATTTGTTTATGGAATAATCATAGTGATTATAGAAAACCAAAAATCACTGGGAATCAATCAGTTATATAAATGTCTTAATAAGCCATGCAACATCAAATTTACCTAAGAGCCATCTTACAATAAGTACCTTATCATTTGTCAATGAAGAAGATGACTTTACAGAAAACCAGTCTCTTTTCTAGACCAATTTAATCATGCTTATAAGATTGTTACAGTGTGGTAACCATTAATTTACATCATATTAATAGGATTTTGTCTGATTTTTTATAAACCTCCAAGGAAACCTTGTCATATAAGCATATATTATCGGTTAATTATTGTCATAATATGGAAATAAGTCTCCTGATGCGAGGAGATAGTACTTTTTGTCCTGTAGTTTCTAAACATAAATTGCAGCAAGTGACAAACCTTCTTATAGGACATGTTAGGTATAACGACATTAATACTTGAAGAAATCCAGTTAAGTTAAGAGTAATTCCATAAAAAAATCTTTAAATTTGTATATAAGATGATCTTCTTAGACAGAATAATTTGACCATTATTGAGATGAGTTTGAAAGACAAGTTTAGTCCATTATTGTCTTATGATATAAAGTAGACAGATCATTGATTGTATATTCTGATCAATGATTCCTGGTCTTTATCTCAATCATCTTGTCTGGGAAACTGCTAATACAGGAAAATAGGCATGTCAAACACTCAACCGTTCACTGACTTTCTAGGATTTTGTTACGTAATGGGATTTTCAAAGTGAACAACTAGGAGAAGTTGGACAAAACATGTCGTACAAACACTTCAGACTATTCTTAAGAACTGGGTGCACTTATTTTACTGTAGATCTTCAGAATCTGGCCTTGCTGACTTAAAAATTTGCAGTACTATTATCGTACTAATGGACTCAAAATTAATCAATCTTTGAAATTTGTGTTTTGAGCATAAATTTTGTACGCTGAGCATTTTGTAAAGTTTTATGGTTGTAGGCCCTTGTAGGTTTGTGAAAAGCATATTCTTAAATCAAATTCTGTTTATATAATTAGAAAAGTATAGTGGATAACACTAAAATAAACAAATTATAAAAATTATGTCTAACTCATACAAAGCAGTGGGTTACAATTAAAGGAACCAATTACTCAACGTTTGACAAATTTTGCACATATAATCAGTATAGGTAGTGCATAAAATGCACAGTTTATTTCAATTATTGCACACAAAATATCTTTGAAGAATGGATAATTCTCAAAGATGATGCTTCTGTGTTTGAGGCCTTATCATCTAATTAAACAAAATAATCTGTCATACTAAAACTAGATGTACATTATATATAGTAGGCATTAGTATAGATGAACTGTGATGATTTACAAAGTTCATAGTTTAATGTCAAGGTCAGCTCTATATATCAACAGTATACACAGTAAATGACAGGATGTATATATTTTATGCCTCCACCACTCAGTGATCAGGACATGTAAGTTTATGCCTCCACCACTCAGTGACCAGGACATGTAAGTTTATGCCTCCACTACTCAGTGATCAGGACATGTAAGTTTATGCCTCCACTACTCAGTGACCAGGACATGTAAGTTTATGCCTCCACCATTCAGTGATCAGGACATGTAAGTTTATGCCTCCACCACTCAGTGATGAGGACATGTAAGTTTATGCCTCCACCACTCAGTGACCAGGACATGTAGTTTATGCCTCCACCACTCAGTGATCAGGACATGTAAGTTTATGCCTCCACTACTCAGTGACCAGGACATGTAAGTTTATGCCTCCACCACTCAGTGATCAGGACATGTAAGTTTATGCCTCCACCACTCAGTGATCAGGACATGTAAGTTTATGCCTCCACTACTCAGTGACCAGGACATGCAAGTTTATGCCTCCACCACTCAGTGACCAGGACATGTAAGTTTATGCCTCCACCACTCAGTGACCATGACATGTAAGTTTATGACTCCACTACTCAGTGATCAGGACATGTGAGTTTATGACTCCACCACTCAGTGATCAGGACATGTAAGTGTATGCCTCCACTACTCAGTGATCAGGACATGTAGTTTTATGACTCCACTGCTCAGTGACCAGGACATGTAAGTTTATGCCTCCACTACTCAGTGACCAGGACATGTAGTTATATGACTCCACTATTCAGTGACCAGGACATGTAGTTTTATGACTCCACTACTCAGTGACCAGGACGTGTAGTTTTATGACTCCACTACTCAGTGACCGGGACATGTAGTTTTATGACTCCACTACTCAGTGACCAGCACATGTAGTTTTATGACTCCACTACTCAGTGATCAGGACATGTAGTTTTATGACTCCATTACTCAATGACCAGGACATGTAGTTTTATGACTCCACTACTCAGTGACCAGCACATGTAGTTTTATGACTCCACTACTCAGTGATGAGGACATGTAGTTTTATGACTCCATTACT